TATATTTTAAAACAGTGTTTTGATTTTTTCGATCGTAGACAAATTTTTTGTTGAGTCTTATTCATAGCTTATTTATCATATTTAAACAGGTGTTTATTATATCAAAAATTTTTACATGGTGGTCAAAACATTAGATGGTTTTATTAGCAAATTCAAGATGTAACAACGTACTTATTTTAAATGAAACACCCTGTATTTTATTAGTCTGTCGTGTGAAAAATTTACTTAGCTTTCAATCTACATTAGGGTTTCCTATAATTATCTCTTTTCATTTTTGAAATATTTGAAGATTTCCTAATTTTTAAGCTTTAATAATTATAATCAAGTATGTCGTGGTTATTTACAATAACATCACCAAACACCAACGATATACCTAGCCAAGTTACGGTCATCAATAATATATAAATTTTTATCATTTCATCACATAAGATGTTTTATTATTTTAGTGGAATTTTTCCTACATGTGATATTGAATAATATTCCTATTTTAAATGGCATACCTTTATTCTATAACGTATTCTGGAAGACATTTACATTATCTTTCATTCCATATGAGTGTTTTTCTATACCAAAATCCAACAGTTACATCTATAGTGAATTTAAAAACACCACTTTTTTATTTGAATCTTTGTGACGTCTTTCGAGAGACAAAAGGGGCTGAAACTTACAAAAATGAGTAATATCCCAAACAAAATACTAGTGTGCATGTGGACCATAATACTTTATTCGCATTCACAAATTTTTCACTTTTCAATATTAGGTAAATTTTTAACTGCAAAATAAGACTACGTTTTTATTTAAAAATAATTCAAATAAAAGATAGACAAATGAAAAAATTAGAAACAAATAAAATTCCAATAATAAACAAATTGTTCAAAGTTACTAGGTTGTAAATGTGACATTGAATTATATTGTTATTTTAAATGTAACACCCGGTATTCTATACCTATATTATTGACCTACCTACATAAATGAAATACATTTGAATTATCTTCCATATAAGTATTCACTATACCCTAATTCACTTATTAATCAGTAAATACCTCTTTTTTAAATTAAGCATATTTTGTACAAAACTCTCGTTTCCATCAAAGTAACCATTGAATTTAATTGTATTTACCATAATTGTGACTGACATTCAGTTTGACATATCAACAACCTGTTATGGACGATTATAATAACGAATTTAGGGTTTTTGGCTCACTAATAGAAAACACACACACAAGTCATAGGGTCATTAATAGACAAACTGGAATAGAAAAGTATTGGATGGATAATACAAAAAGACAAATTCCATCCCTATAAAGTACAGTTGTATTAAGACTTGTATCAATCAGATTTTCAACAAAGAATCGATTTTTTTTTATGGGTTGTGGATAAAATATCATCCGATGGAGATATTTATGATCTTTAATTAATCGACGATCATATAATGAGAGAATAATAAGTTGGGTTTCAATTTAATCATTTTTTGATTTTTGATATATAAATATTATAAGATGGAGACCATGCATAAGAACAATACTCTAGATAAAGTCTAACTTAAGAACAATACATTAATTTAATCACTTCAATATTCTGAAAGTCTCTACTGCATCTATATAAAGCCAATCATTTGTAAAGGCTTGGAAATTATTGACATACAATGCGATTCAAATACGGTACTCACCGGAGGGACCGCAGACGTTCGGATACAATTAGGTCTCTTAGCAAAGACAATGACGTAGACTTTGCTAAGTATCAAGACAATTACTCTACACCTACACACACTACACTAGGTACCTTACTGTAAAAATTCACTGTACCATGCCAATGACCATTAGTTGTCGAAGCATTAAACTCGATAAAAAAAAATAAATAAATAGAAGTTTAGAGTCTAAATTCCCAGATCACGTCTTTCGGTAACCAAGTAGACAAGAATGTTCCGTGTATTATAATTATATTCCATTGAGTCTCTCGATGGTTCAAAACAAATAGCGTGGCACTTGGATGCGGTCAGAGCCATGACATTCAACACACACCACTAACAAACTGATCAAGATTGTGTTAAAGATTAACACAATCTTCTGTATTATTGATAATTGTGTAGAACTTTAGATCGTCCGCAAAAAGAAGAAGTGCTGGAAGCAGCGGTTGTATATCATCATAAATGTTAAATAACAGAGGCCTCAAATGAAAACCCTAGGGTAATCCAGAATGAACCTTAATTTCACCGGAAACAAAATCCCTGATACACACTATCTGAACTCGGCCAATCTATATATATATATATATATATATTATATTGTTGTTGACGCAATCAAAAGCCTTGGAGAAATCAGTTTATAGTGCATGTTCTATGAAAAATAATTTAAAATGTCTTCCATAGTAACGGTATAGAATATTGGTAAAAATATTGGTATATATGTATATATGTATATATATATATATATAATATATATATAATATATTATATATATAATATATTTATTGTTGACCCCAATCAAAGGCCTTGGAGAAATCAGTTTATAGTGCATGTTCTATGAAAAATAATTTAAATGTCTTCCATCTAAATACCAAATATGGTATAGAATATGCCATTGATATTATTGATGGTGGTGCTATACCACCGTGATGTGTTGTAAGTACATAACTACGGCATACTTGATTTATACTAAATCTTTAAAGCTTAAAATTGGGAAATCTTAAATATTTCACAAATGAAGGGAGATAGGTACAGAAATCCCTAATATAGATTAAAAGCTATTATTACAGCTTGTATATATATGTATATATATATAATATAATATATATATATATATATATATATATATATAATTACAGCTTGAATTTTCTAATAAAACAAACTAATATTATGACCATCATTTAAATATGATCCAAGTATCCTGTTTAAATATTATTAAGGTCATAAGAAAAAAAATTATCTCATATTCTTAGATATTAAATTTTTTCTAAAATTTACATTTTTTTTAAATCAAAATCAATCAAAACACCTTATGTGTTGGTCTAACTTCAATATACGAGTGTTTTTTGGAGCACCCTGTATAATTCACATTATGTAAAAAGTAAAATGTAATGACATGTCTTAATGCAAAACAGAAAACAAAAGCTTCCTCCTTGGTTATTGTTAGTTGTTGCCCTATGCCCTAGAAACCATCATAGTCCTTTAACTTTAATGCCACAAATTGGTCGCATTGATCCTGTAGTAATCCTTTCCTAAGTTAACATGCTCCTTTTCTAACTTGGCTGCACCGTACTGAAGATGACCAATAGTCAGAAATACATATATACAGTTCCCTTCCATCGAT